AATAAAAAAAATATTTTTTAATACATTCTGAGGCAGGCTCATAAACTTATATATATATATATATATATATATATATAGGCCTATACATAATATATGCATATATAATAATATTTAGGCCTACATTACGAACATCCCGTTATAATTTTGAATTCACGAGGAATACAAAAAAACCAGTTTGCTGAAATTATTATTTGTTTCATCTTGGTCTGAAAAGTGTGAATATGTGTATGTAGGTGAGTCATAAGAAATATTTACTTGCAAATTGACCGACAAGATTGCGAAATATAATTGATATATTCGTTGGTAATCGCCATATAATTTCTTTTATCTGTCCAGCATAGTGTTTTCGTCCATCCAAAGCCGGGAATATGTTTGGCAGGTGGAGCTTTGCGCACTGTATTATCAGATATCAAGGCAAACGCTGAACGAGGCAAAAATTTGTTTAATGATAATATTATAGTGCATACATTTACTCTCACAAAGCGTTCATTAACAAACAAAAAATACAAACATTTATCTTGGTGATTCGGATAATTTTGATTTTCATAGTTGTAACGCATTCAATATTTAGATTACAATGTATTGATAACTACTTAAATACAAATAACGCATTTGACTTGATTCACAATAGAGTAATTTTATAAGCACGTTTACGCAAATGCAAAAAAAAACCCCAAAAACAAAAAAACCCAAAAAAGAACTAATACGCCAATGCCAGTCAATGCACCAAAGTCGATATGAAATAGCAACCGTACGCCTCCAGTCATTTTTTTTGGCGCGACAAAAACCCTTGTAACTTTGGACGAATCAGATTGCAGCGCTATGTGACATGTAGATATTGATCTACTACTGATACTTTTCATGCAGCTTAACTAAATTACTCAAGCCTAATAGAGTCTACTATAGTATTATAATACTACTTACTACTGCTGCTGTTGCTGTTGCTGCTGCTGCTGCTGCTGCTGCTGCTACTACTGCTACTGCTACTGCTACTGCTACTGCTACTGCTACTGCTACTGCTACTACTACTACTACTACT